CAACCTAAACCTTTTTAAAAAATTATTCCCAAAAAATTGGCGATATTTTTTTTTTAGTTTTACGGTGCCTCACTAGCTGGGTTTTGGTATCCGACTGCGTTCGGAACCGTGATTTTAAAAAGCGCATAAATGGATAATTTTTTATGCTATTTAGTGTCCCTTTAAAATTTGAAAAAGTATAAAATTGTTTTAAGGACATTTTTTACAAAAAAAATTTTTTAAAAACAATTTTTTCCGTAAAAAAAAAAGAAAACCCTTTTTTTTAAAATGTTCTCTTTTTTTTGAAAAATACTTCTATTATAATAAATTTTTTTACCTGTATGGAAACTCAGACCCTCTGTACAGAGGCTCCCAAATGCGATGTTTAAAAAAATTTTACATTATTTTCCAAAAGGGTTTCAACCCATTGAAATAATTATCGGCGTTTTTTTTTAAAATTTTCTCCCCTGTGTTGTCGTAAAAAATGGGGTGAACCCCACCTCTAAGTTATATATTTCAAAATTTCTAGTTGAACCTCTGTACAGAGGTCCAAGGGTGTATAAGGGAAAATATTATTATAAAAAAAACATTTTCACAAAAGGGGAAATATTTTTAAAATGGGTTAATTTTTTATTTGCATTTTTTTACAAAATATTTTCTTAAATAATTTTTTTATCGTAATACTTTTTTCTTAAAACCAAATTTTTTATACATTTTTTTAATCCCAAGTGACACTAAATATCCTTTAAAAATTTTCCATTTATACCTTTCAAATCCCGGGTTTAATGAAAATTTAAAAGCAAACTCCCTTGAAACGCTTGCGGAACCATCATACCATCGCTTTTTTTAAAAATTTGGGATCAATAAGGGATTCTCCAAAAAATTTCTTAATTTGCGCTGGTTTTTTAACGGGGGGCGATTTCATTTCATGGGAAAACCCAAATTTTTCTCTTAAATCGATGCCATGTCGGCCAAAAAAAATGTTGCTTTTCCCCCCGGGGTCACTCTTGGTTTAGGCCGTTTTTTTAAACACACGTCGGGGGCAGAAGATATTTACGGGTTTCCACTGGTGTTATTCCGAGCACGTCTCTTCTTTTCCCCATCTTGATTGGGTTTTGGGTTTTTAAAAAGGAAGAGGTCCTTCTGGACCCTCTTCTGTTTTAAATTTCCCATATTTTTTGTTCATGGAGATTGTCTAGCATTGATGGACAATTTGGGATTTTTTAAAAAACAACAACTGAACGCACAAAATTTTCAAAAAATCTACTAAAACTTTGGGTGGGTTTAATGATATTTTAGGTAGATCCGAGGGCCAGGTTTTTTATAAAAAATCACAAAAAAAAATAAACGTTGTTCAAAAAGCGATGCGAATTTATTAACAAAAATCCCAAACCTTTTTAAAAACAGTATTCAGCAGCAATATTCACAGAAATCTCCGAAAAGGTCTTCCCCTTCCCAAAAGAAAACAAACACAGTCACGAGTGTTTAAAAACCCGTATGTAAAAAAATTATTCACAAGCACAGCCGAGCTAATCGCTAGTCAAGAAAAATCCTCACTCTTCGCTGGTTAAATCAGACCCCCTCCCCCGAACCGGCGAGCATCTTTTTTTTTTATAGGCGCGACAGAAAAATTCGAGAAATATAACCGCTCGTGTCACTGAACGTGACACTAGTGGGAAGATCCCTCCAGAAGATTCCAGGGGTTTTCCCAAAATCGCCAAAGGTTGCCAATTTGCCAAATTTTTCCGCCAAATTGGTCCCCAAAAAAAATGCCCCAAATTGGTTTACCCCAGATTTCGCCAAGTTCTCATTGAATCGCCAATAAAAGGTAAGGGGGGGCATTGCTTGCCCAATAGTACAATTTTAACATGAAATAAATATAACACATAGAGGGAATATAAAAAGCATTAAACACCCAAATACAAATTATTTACACTATTTACAAAAAAATTCGCAACAATATTTAAAAATTATTATATTAACATTTTTTTATGGCGGGGGGTAAGTATACTTTTCCACCAATTCATAATTTTAAATGTCCAAAATAAGCTATTTTCTTTTTTTAGGATTTTGCAGTTATCCAAAGAATGACTTTTTGAAAATTAAGAAAATTCAATACTTTTATCTAATAAGTTAAATGAATTTCTCTTCTTAAAATAAATTTCAATTACAAAAATATCTTAATATACCTTTACTAGAAATAAATGGCCTGTTAAAGGGTAAAACACTTATTGTGTAATGAATTTTTAAAATCAAAGCAAGACTTTTGGTTCAACCTATATAATTAAAAATAATGCAGTTTTTATACCTTAGAATAATTGCATAAACAACTTCGAGAACTGCACGTGGGCCTGTTAGAAATGATCGAAAACGGAAATAAAAGCAAACTGAAGCAGGAAGTAATCAAAATGAGATTTAATCGAACACCCTTATATATCACTTTCACTTAAAAAACCTCATCAATAACAAAACACAAACAACACTTGTTTTCTTAAATGCTGGTTTTTTTATAGCTGTTATGTGTTTTGAATAAGACTACAATGACCTGGTGACACTTTATCGATGAGATAGTCGTACGCGAAAGCTATTCCGGGAAGCGAAAGAGACAGAGGGAAAACGGAAAACCAAAAGACTCGAGTAAAAATAAGTGAAATATAAAAATTTAACAATATTTGGAAACAAATGCAATAAAATGGAACGATGATGAACTGGGTTAAATAAAATAGAAAATTTGAGTGCAATATTCGAACAACAATTGAAGAATTTGGTGGAAGCTTTATATCTTTCAGGAGTTATTGACTATTTCTTGCACAATCTTTTGAAACATTCAAGTAGAATTTTGTGAAAAAAATTAAAGATAACTACTTGAAATGCACAATTGAGACGGTCAATTTGATATCAGTCAATTGTGTTTAGTGAATAAACAATGGTGACCAAAAGTTAAGGCATTAAAAAATCGAAAAGTAAGTGCAAGAGAGATTCCTTGAATGCGAATAATAAAATCATCAATTTCAATTTTAAAAAAACCATGCTCTATTGGCATTCTTTTATTTTAACTATTTTTACTCTTTTTGAAAATTTATCAATTCACTTTTTAAGCTATTAACTATTTTTATTTTATGTTAATATATATCTCTTTCTCTATACATGTAAAATACATTTTACTTCTAAATGCTTCAAATTCATTGAAACTGACCTAGAGCATATTTACTTGCACACAAACATATTGATTACAGTTATAAATTTACTTACGTTTCTTGATTTACGATTGCATTTTAAACATACAAACGTACACACTACTAAACATACAAAATATACACAGAATCCATTCGACGAACGAAAACATTCTTCTATTCATTCCAAATAATCTTAGTTTGGAAACTCCTATTCCGAAAGTTCAAGAATTTTCTTTACTCACATGATTTGAAGAATTTAACTTGCTGATAGATCAATTTGGTAGCTGATGCAATGTTGCATCACCTCTGCACAAATTTAATGACGTGGTGCTTTTCTTTAGAGCTGAAGCCGCAGTTGAATTATATTTCTTTTTAGGTTATGAAAAATGCGATAATTAAATATCATGGGATGTCTTGGAGGATTCAGGACTATAATAAATTAAAGAAAATTAAAATATAGAGAATCGTTATATATAATGTACAGGATTAGGTTAAAAAATGAAGAAATTAGTAAAAAACAATAGTACAAAACAAAGAAAAATGTGGAAGGAGGTGGAAAAATACAATGAAACAGAAAATAAAAAGCGATCTCGGGCTTAAGAACAAATACACATAGGATTACATTAGTTTGATAATACCAACCTTCTTCTTTTGTGACTAATATGTTCAGGTGTCGTACAAGTCCCTGAAGTGTAGTTTAAATTTAATATTTCCATCTCCAAAAGCATTCGTGTTGCTTTAAAGTGTGGACTTAATTAAATATCAAATCAAATCTGTTGCTAACATAGAAATATTCAAAAAGAAAAAAATGTACGTTAAGGTATCCGACTACGTTCCGAACCGTGATTTTGCAAAATCGTATAAATGGATAATATTTATGATATTTAGTGTCACTTAGATTAGAAAATGTATATAAAATTGTTTTAAGAAATAGTATTACAATGAAAATTAATTAAGTACAATATTTTGACAAAAAATTAACACAGAATGACCCATTTTCAAAATATTCTCCCTTTGGGAAAAAGTTTCTATTATAATAATATTTGCATGTATATAGTTCAGACCTCTGTAGAGGGCTCAACTAAATTTTGAAATATATAACTTTAAAAGTGGGTTTTTATCCAATTTTTACGACAAGAGAGGGAGAAATTTTAAGAAAAAACGCCGATAATTATTCAATGGGTTGTAACTCTGAAAATAATGTGAATTTTTCAAAAATCATTGTTGAGCCTCTGTACAGAGGTCTGAGCTATATACAGGCAAAATATTATTATAGTAGAAGCATTTTTCAAAAAAGGAAAACATTTTGCAAAAAGATTATTCTAAGTTAATTTTTTGCCGAAAGATTGTATTTAAATAATTTTTTTTTGTCAAAATGTCCTTATATATATATATAAAACAATTTTATACATGTATTATAATCTAAGTGACACTAAATATCATGAAAATTACCCATTTATGCGCTATTTTAAAATCCCGTTTCCGAACGTGGTCGGATACCTTAAGGAAAACATCAAAATAAATGGATAAATTATCTCTAGGTTGTTTGAAACAAGTAACATAAAAAAAAATAAACTCAATTCCTACTTAGGTCAACAAAGAAAATTTTCATTTTAGTTACTTTTTATTAAATAGTTACAATTAATATAAATATGTTCTACATATGACAAAATTACAATATTAAGTGACAAAGTAGAAAGCAATTTCCCTTGCAATTTTTCATTTTCCTTTCTATATTGGGTGTTGAACAATTTTGACTGTTTGTTACTATTTATTCATTAATTAAATTTATTTATTATAATAAAACAGTATAGTAAAAAGAAATCACATTCTCAGAAACTAGGCCATCCCATGTGGGATTGGAACCCATGATCTTTGGATTAGAAATCCAACGTGCTATTCATTGCACTTCAGGGACGCAACGAACAATTTTCATTTTTATACATGCTATTGAACAATTATTTTTGTATGTTAATATTTATTCATTTTTAAATTTAGTGAATTAATATTTGAAAAAACGGTATGAACATCAAGGGCCATACACTACAAGTTTAAAAAATGTATTTAAACTTGATTGGATGAATAGAAAGTATTTTATTAACGATTGAAAATTTGAACAAGATGTATATATAAATAAATAAATATATAGGGTAAATGAGTTAATATTAGGATTTAAAAAATATTTAGGGTTTTAGTGATCTAATTGTAGGAATTGACAAATACACCTACGTTAGTTGATAACAGTACCACACAAATGTCCAAACACAATTAAAATATTAAAATGAGTTTAAGACGGTTATTGACGAACACAATTAAATATCTTGAATACACGGAAACCACATACCCTTCATCAGACTGTCAAAAAAGGCAGCTTGCTGACAATATTTGGTAAGGGCAATGGACTTTCCACGAAAAAGAAATATTCTGTTTTTGCTTTCTTTAGTTTTAGAAAAGTTTTTATATATTTTTGAAGTGAAAACTTAATTTATTCATATTGTTAAAACTCCTAATTCGGATACAGAAAAAGTTAACGTTGATAAGAAGATCTGTAATCGTGGGAAATTTTTTTTTTAGCTTTGATATATTTTAAGCTTTTTCTACCCCTTTCATTTTATGTTAACAGCCCGGGATCCCGAAATCCCGGGATTAAAATAACTAATCTCGGAATTTAATTTTTGACTGAATTATAGATCGAAATTTTTTTCTGATCAAAGTTTTCTAAGCATTTAATTTTCTGAAAAGTTATATTTTTTTTAAATGAAATATGTACGTAGAGTACCAGTAAAAGTAACTTCTGGAAGCACTCTGCCATCGTAATCGAATCTGTTTACAGCATACTAAAAGAACGCTAAAGAACTTAAAGATGTAAACAGTGCTTTAAGTTGAAATTATGCAGCTCTCATTTCTGGTATGTGAGGAAGTCCAGTTTTAAGTAATTTACTGCAACACTTACACAATGGTGTAAGCAGTGTCTCAGGAAGATATTTCGCAAAGTTCCTTCTTCAATTAAATGCTTATGTATTAATAATGGACCGGCGAAAGAAAGACGCTTCAAATCCAACTACATTACTAACAGCTCATGCAACTGGATCTATTTTTCAAATAAGGTAACACTCGAAATAGATTAACATTCTGATTCAAAAACAGAATCAATTTATACAAAAAAACCATTAAGTGTGAGAAGAACTAGATAAAGTTATAAAAGAGTTATGCACCAATGAAGCCTATTAGATTTGAAACACTGTGTAATAAAAATGCAAAAAGAACTGCTTACTTTTGAAAATGGAGGGATACGTGGTGACTACATGGAAAAAATACTGTTTTTTAATGACGATAAAACCTACAGTGTGGAGTCTGAACGAATTTTTTTTTTTTTCAGGACAATTTATTACAAATATAAAGCCATTTTAACGATAAAACGATGGGAAGCTGTAGTTTTAAAAATTTTTTACAAAAGCAAGAAAAATGAAGAAATGTTTTTAAAATTTCATTATGTACTATTTTTTTTTTATTTTTGTGATGAATTTTGTTTTTTAATTTGTTTCAATGAATAATAATATTATTAAAACAATTTTAGGTATCCGGGCGTTCGGAACCGTGATTTTTCAAAAGCATAAATGGATAATATTTATAATATTTAGTGTCACTTAGATTAGAAAATATATATAAAATCGTTTTAAAAATAGTATTACAATAAAAATTATTTAAGTAAAAATATTTTGACAAAAAATGAACATAGATTGAAAAATTTTCAAAAAATTCCCTTTTGTGAAAAATGCTTCTATTATAATAATATTTTTTCCTGTATATAGTTCAGACCTCTCTAAAGAAAGGGTCAACTAAATTTTTGAAATGTTAATAACTTGAAGTGGGTTTATCCATATTTTACGACAACAGAGGAGAGCAATTTTAAGAAAAAAAACGCCGATAATTATTTCATTTGGTGGTAATTCTGAAAATAATGTGAATTTTTCAAAACTCCTAGTTCAGACTCTCTGGAGAAGTCTTTACTTTATCTAAGCACACACACAAAGTAACAAAGTATTATTATTTTAGAAGCCTTTTTCATAAAAGGAGAACATTTTGAAAAAAGATTATTCTAAGTTAAATTTTTGCTAAAATATTTTATTTAAATAATTTTTTTTCTCAAAATATCCTTAAAACAATTTTATACATGTATTTTAATCGAAGTAACACTAAATTAAAGGAAATTATCCATTTATGCGCTTTTTTAAAATCACGGTTCCGAACTTAGTCGGATACCTTAATTGTGTTTTCAATTTTGTTGTGTAACTTTACCTATGCTATAATGGGTAAGTAATTTTCATAAATAGTCCAATCCTAATCCTGGGACCTAACCAGGATTTGTGTAATGTAATCCCGAAATCCCGGGATTGAATACATAACACGGGATTGCAAAACCCTACTTCATATGACAGATTAATTTCCAGATCACTAAATTAACAAAGTGTTCTCACATTTTACTGTTAAATACTCTTCAATAGGCTTTTCCATAATGAGAATAATTTCTGTCTACTAAAATTCTCTAAACATCCTCAAAAAAAAAAATCAATACAATAAACCTATTTTTATTTCAGCTCAAACTTCGCATTTAGTTATGCCCCATATTCCGGAAGAAGGTAAAAGTTCTTTCGGAAAAACACAAACTGGTTTCCTCTTGTAAATTTCCTCACAAAAATTGATTCTGTTTTTGTAAGACGGGACTTTTTCTAAAAGGTGCGGATGATTGTTTTATTTCTTCACCGAAATAGTAAACTTCCTTACGCTGTAACGGAAGTTTTAGATTCGATTTGAAGTTCCGTTTAGAAGTGGACATTTCTAAAGTATTCCCCGAAAAATGCAAAGTTCCTTTCATTGCGTCACTTTGAAGTTGACCATTACAACGCTTGCAGAAAAGATGGTTTTACTTTTAACAGGTGATACTTCCGTTTGATTTTTTTAATGGCAGTATTACCGGATGCAGCGGATTAGATCCAATAACCTGGAAATAAAAAACAATTTAATTTCTTATTTCCTGAAAATTATTATGACGTCTATTATTCTTACCTCTAACATTTGGGCAAATATTTTTTAAAAAAAGTGACAATCATTCCTAAATATCTTTTTTTTTATTCAGTAAAATTTTTATTTGTCTGAATTTTTAAAATATGTGCTATTTGGAAGCATGCAAAGACATGTTTGCAGTATTGTATTTATGAGTGTTTCCTTGAATGTGTTTTTTTGACAACACAACCAGGTTAAGTGATGTTTTGAAAGTCACGTTCCTTTGGACGAAATTACTATGTTACTATTTTTGTTAACGTAAAACAAGTAATATAAAAAAAAAATCATTTCCTACTTAGGTCAATTTAAAAAAAATTTTATTTTAGTCAATTTTTTTAAATATTACAATTAACAGAAAATTATATATATATATGACAGAGTCACAAATAAAGAGTAAAAATAGAAGCGATTTTCCTTGAAATTTTCTTTTACTAAATAGGTGTTGGACTATTATTTTCCACACCATACAGTCAACACACTATAGCCCTCAGGGGCTCACCTTCTTTTTGGTGGTACGGGTGTCACTCCATGTACCCTATTTATCTTTTCCTTTTCCCAAGCGGTTTTACTATCTTTGGGAAACACGGTGTCACGACCTCGAGTACCCCGTGATCCTTCTCTATTTTCGACCCTCCATCTTGTCATCCCAAATTTTCCCCTTTTCCCCTACAGACAACAGACCTATGAATGTTTGGCGCAGTATAAAAAACTTTGGGTCTTGCGCCATAAAACACAAACTAACCAACACACTATCCATTGCGCTAAGGGACACAAGAGTGATTTTCCTTTTTTATATATGCTGTTGGACTAAATTACCTTGTTTTTTGCTATTTATTGATTTTTAATTTAATTAATGAATTATTTTGAAAAAATGTATTAACATCAAGTGTCATCCACTAAGCTTAAAATATATTTGAACTGAATGGATGAATAAAAGCATTTTATTGACTTAAAAAGATATATATATATATATATATATATATATAAAAGAAGAGAAGAGAGAAAGGTGAAAATTGTAAAATTTAAAAGCAATGTGTTGAAAATCCCAAAATTATGTGGGTAAAATGAAAATAAAAATTGTTTTATAAAATCAAAAAAACACAGTTTTTTTTTTAAAATTAAAAACCCTACCCCTTTGCTTGCGTGTAAAAATCTCAACTGGGTACTGCGTTAAAGTTTATTTTTCCATTCTTTATTATTTTTAATCAAATATATAAGAATATTGAACAAAACTATTAACTGTTCCAAATCTAAATTTGCAGTCATTTAAAAATGTGCTAATTTGTTTCAGATATTACTGTTTAGGCTAATTTGATTACTCTATAAAATTTAATTATACCGTAATGTAATAATTAATTTTTTATTTTCTCATAAACTAGTGAATAGTTAAATAAACGCATGATCTTAATTAATATTTCGAGAGAATATTTTTAGATGCACATAATTTGAAGATGTGGGGGAAAAAATTTAAACTTTTATAAAATATTTTGGGAAAAAAAAAAATTCTAACATAATGTTACTCATCATAAACAAGACTGTATAATTATATAATTCAAAATACACATTTTTAATTGATAAAAATATACTTTAAGCTTTATTAATTCTTCATTCATTAACTTAACCCTTATTCACGTTTTAATTAAAATGGTTTCTTAAAAACTGTTTTTGTTAAATAATTTTTAAGAAATTTTCCGTAAAGAAAAATCATTTTCTGTATTTAGTAAAAAAACTTTTCCCAAAAAACAGTTGTGGGGAGACTAATAGCCCACACACACACACTTTAAAATTTTTGTCACTTTATACAAAAAAACAATTCTGAAAAAATTACCCGAAATATTTGTTTTATTTTTTTAA